TTCACCACCTCAAACAGTAATTCCCTTCCATGGATGTTGCTTTGACAACTGCTTGGAGGGTTTATCAGCGTCTGAGATGCGTCGCCTTACTGCGGGATGCTCGAAGTGGCAGCCTAGCTGTTGCCTGCTGCTTCGGCCACACAAGAGCAGATGTAGATGACGCAGGGGGACGCCGTTGGTGGCGGGGAGGTGAATGGGCAGCACTCAGCGGTCTGGTACCAGCAGCCTCCTGGTGGGGTAAGGTGTCCTTGATCGCCTCCGTCTGCTTCTGTACTGTAGAGAACTTCCGGGCAAACGTCTGGGCAAGCTTCTGATCTGCAGGGGCAAAAACACAACTGGATGCAAATTATCTCCTACCATAGAACATCTCCTCTCAAGTAAAGGCAGATTGGCAGAGTGTTGTAAAAACATCATATCTGAATGTTGAATGAGCTGAATAAGTGAGTTGCCGGGTAATCTTACTCAAATCTTACGCCATGCCCTCAAATGCAATGAGCCAATCACAGTTCGCAGCTAACCCAATACACTCGGACATTCTCTGCTTCCGATTGAAATGCATTGCAGCCAGTCAGTTTTCATTTGTTTTTTCTTGTCATTTTAAGTTTAAAATGGTCAAACGGTGTGCATGGGGTACATGCAACTCCGCCACTAGGTTCCCGAGAGGCTGGGCGATGGTGTGTATTTTTTTACCTTTTCCCAAGCCACGTCAAACGAGATAAGTGTCTACTCTGGATTAAGTTATGCGGTAGGCCACAACACCAACTAAACGTGGATAAATTAAACAAGGATGTCTACATATGTTCTAAGTTAAAGGGATAGTTCACTTTGAATTACATTTTTGATATGTTTTAGCTTACCTCAAACCAAGATGTAGGTGTCTTTGTTTCCACAGCATTTTCAATTTTGACATTTTTTGGTCAAACCGTTGTTGTCTGTCAGTCATACACTGGAGGTGAAGGGGGTCCTCAATCGGTTCACCTCAAAGAGCATGCACAGAGAAGTCAAAATTAAACATGATTTATTGACTCGTAAATGTAAGTACACACTGATGGCTTAAGACACGAAACGAGCGGTTTGTGTGAGAAAACGAACAGTATTTATATCGTTTTTACCTCTTGTTAACAGCCGTCAAACTGATCTGAATCAGATGTCCAACTGAACCGAACTGAACCGTCTCCAGACGTTAGGCCGGAAGTGATCTCTCGCGCGTCTACGTCACGCATTGTTTACACGGAGATTTCGGAAGTTTTACCTTTCACTAAACTTATTTAAATATACAGGAAATCGCAATGGAAGACGATTTCGATATATCTAAATATGTTTAGTGGCTTAGCCATAGGTCTGTTGTTATCTAGCACTGCCTTAATCCTCCTGCCATGGAATTCACCAGAGCTGCACAGGTTGTTGCTGGGACCCTCTTCCACTCCTCCATAATGTCACAGTACATATTGGAATCCATGTCTCCCTCAATGAAGCACAGCTCCCCAGAAACAGCAGCACTCATGCAGCCCCAGACCATGATGCTTGACTGTAGGCAAGGCACAATTTTCTTGGTACTCCTCATCAGGTTATTGCCACATATTTTGGACACCATCTGGGCCAAAAAATGTATCTTAGTCTCATTAGACCACAGGACATGGTTCCAGTAATTCATGATCTTGGACTGGTTGCTTTCAGCAAACTGTTTGCGGGCTTTCTTGTGAGCCAGATTAAAATTAGCAGGGATGTGATTTTTCCGGATTAATCCGGAATTCCGGATTTTCCGACCTGAAAATGTGACCTACGTGAATCATGCAGATCTGTAAAAAAAAAAAAAAAAAAGAGGGGGACGGGTGTCGGCAGCCGGAGTGAAAAGGAGAGAATATGAGGACATAACCCATAACTGGCTGACTTGCGTACAGAAAGTTCCTTTCAAAGTATCAACAAGGACGTATTTGCGTTCAGCCAGAGAATGTCTAGTTGGTTCAGCTTGTTCACCTGCTCAGTTTCGTATCTCTAGTCGCTCTCGCGCTGGTATCGTTGTCAGTTGACAAGAACATCACAGTTAGGTCACCAGGGCTGGGCGATATATCGATATATTTCAAATTTGCGCTATGATCCTTGCTCCAAGCAAGCTGCTGACTGCTTTTGTAGAAATATGTAACTTAGCAGCTATATCGTGCATTCTGTCAGTTGCAGTCCTGACACCTCCGTCTCAACAGCATTAGTGTACAACGCGACAAATACTCGCAATATTAACGCAGAGGAACGGCTATCTGTTCAGCGAGTTCACAAAAGTTAATTTGCATGTGCTTTAAAGCCTTGCCGGTTAAACATGTCATTCACTGCTGATGTGCTGTTCTGAGCGCGAACACCCGACGTGCACACGTAGTGCTACTAAAAGCTTGTCTAACAGCGCCTGGTTGCTGGACTAAGTTATCTTTCGAGTATTATTTCGCTAATACTCTCAAATACACACAAGGTTTACATAAGAACATTTGGTTATGTCTAAACTCAAAGCAAACCGAGAAAATTGAGAGAAATCTGCTTGTCAAATGCTGCGTGTATATTAGACGTGTCGCGTACAGGTCTTAAAGTGACAGTAGCCCTAATAATAAAAATGCAGCCGCTTGTTCTTAAAGGGATAGTTGACCCCAAAATAAAAATTCTGTCATTATTTATTCACTGTAATGTTGTTCCAAACCTGTATTAATTTATTTCTTGTGCTGAACAAAAAAGAAGATATTTTGAAAAATGTGGGTAACCAGACAGTTTCTGGTCCCCATTGACTTCCATAGCGAAATATTTACTATGGAAATCACTGGGGTACATCAACTGTTTGGTTACCGACATTCTTCCAAATAACTTAAACAGAAGAAAGAAACTTTTTCAGGTTTAAAACAACTTGAGAGAGTAAATGATGAAAATAATTTTTTTTTGGGAGAACTATCTATTTAATGTTAATTAAACAACAAAACACAGAGGAAATCACTCACTGCTCTTGACTGAGAACTGTAATAGTAGCTTTAATAAGAATCAATGTATAATTTATACAGTGAAGACTATATTTGACTTTGATTGAACATTTGCTCTCACTTTGCGGAAAAGATATTGGGATATATATTGATTTGGGGGGGGGGGGGGGCTCGGTATATTTTCCTGCTTTTTTGTCCTTAGCCAATCACATGCCTGATTAGGCTTCCTTCTGGGACAACAGCCATGCAAACAGCAGTGTGTGTTGTATGGTCTGAGCACTAACGAGCTGACCTTCCGCTTTTGCAACATCTAAAGCAATGCAGGCAGCACTCAATGGCCCTCATTTATCATTGTTGCGTAGAAACGGGCGTATATTTTGGCGTAAGACTATGCTTACACTCCTCTCTCTGATTTATGAAGCTGTGCATACCTTTGAAATCCAGGTGTACGCAATACCTGCCCTTAATAAATCCCGTGGCCGAAAACGATCGTCATTAAAATAACACGCCCTAAAATATTAAAGTCTCCGCTCCCCCCACGCCCTCATTTTACGCCATGGACACACAGAAGACGGCAAAGAAGAGAAACTTCTCCGACGTGGAGCCGAAATGACCCATCACAATGCATTATTTTACAGCACGTCTTTTGAAATGAGCAGTCAATTTCGAATCACGTCACATGTATTGATGATGTGATGTGAAGTATACCATTCATTCACATTAATAATTGCATTACAATTTGTAGCTAATATTCTTCTTATTATTATGATTTGTATTAATGACGCTTATTGTTATTTAGAAGAAGGATGATGTTATTATTATTTGTATTATTATTATCATTTAAAAGAAGAAGAATGTATTTTTCATTATTTAATCAGTCTGAATAATTTTTTGGTCATTGAAAGCCTTTCATTACCGAACCGAGTCCGTGCACATGCTGGGGATAATCCTGAAACATCAGGGTAAAGCGCACAGGCTCACAACTGAAGGAATGCATATGCTTACAAATCAAATGCTTTGGTAAAGTCACACAAATTAAACATTGAAGTCCACGTTGCACAAAAATAAACACTGACGTTTATAATTACTATGTTGCTTTTTTGTTTGTTTGTTTTTTGGGGGGGTCATAATATATATCATATCTTTTATCTTTTCTAATTTAGGAATTTTTCTGCGCATTTCCTCACTAACTCAAAACGTGCGTACACCACCTCCTGAGCTGGTGTAGGATTTGAGCGTGCCGTACGCCAACGTCCATATTGATAAATCTCAAAGTCACCGTGGTTTTGGGTGTACGCAAGGTGTATGCTGGAAATTTCGTGTACGCGCTTTTGATAAATGAGGGCCAATGTGTCTGTTTTGTTTTTTTTTAAGCCAGCTTCTACACCTGACACACAAGGACTCAACTTATTTGATTGGCACTTGCAAGGCCTGTTACAAGTGGAACCTGTTTTGGAAAACCTCTGTATGACCCTGGCCTGTACTGTAACTCTGTTTCAAGGCGTTCCAATATAGGGCATCTTTGTGAAGAGCAACAATTCTAATTCTCAAATCCTTAGAGAGTTATTTGCCAAGAGGTGTCATGTTGAGTGGTCAGTATGAGAGAATTGTACTCAAAGCACAAATTTGAACTACTCTAATACAAGATACAACAATTTGAATGGTCCTGTCAAGCAGACAAATACCTGAACATCATGAATAGGACGTGACGTTGCATGGTTAAACGACTTAGGGTGTCCTCACTTTTGTTGCCAGCTATTTTGACAATAATGGCTGTATGTTAAGTTATTTTCAGAGGACAATAAATGTATACTGCTATACAAGCAAAGCAGCACATTGACTACTCTAAAATATATACAAGTTTAATTTATATAGTATTGTCTCTTGAGTAGATATAATGTGAGGGGTGTAGCCTACTCACTTTTGTGAGATACAGTAGTATGTCAGAAATAAAATTGTTTATCTAGTTACTGTTGATTTTCTTAATCAAGACTTAATCTCCTGATTTGTTCTCTCTCTCTTTCTTTGTCTTTTTAATCTGTGTAGGACCCTAGGAGTAAGCATAAATTTAAGATCCACACTTATGGCAGTCCAACATTCTGTGACCACTGTGGATCTCTTCTATATGGGCTCTTACACCAAGGGATGAAATGTGACTGTAAGTACAATACTAAACATTTCGGCTCGGAGGAAGCTATTTAAGAGTAGTTTAGAGGTTATTTAACATGTAGCCCATAACTATCGATATACAGTATATGCAGTAATCATTTGATTAATTATTGAATATTTTATACTTTAAAATAAATGTTAAAATTTGACATGCTAGATATGATGTGTTCACAGCCTGTGATATGAACGTCCATAAGCAGTGTGTGATGAATGTGCCAAGCCTTTGTGGAATGGACTTCAAAGAGAGACGAGGGCGTCTTTACATTAAGATTGAGGTGATCGGAGACAAAATGCATGTCACAGGTGAGTGTCACAGTTTTTCCATGACCAAAGATGCAATAGTGTAAAACATGTTAATGCTGTTGCATATCTCTATTCTTCATATTCGTTATCTGTCTTTTTTGACACATCCATTCCTGTACAACACAGAGGCCTGCACACAACAAAAAATAGCGCAAGTGAATTAAGAAATTGTTGATCGACTTGGCCTCTGTAATATCACCGCTGGACCACCAAAAGCATTAGGTGGAAAAATCCTAATGTGGAGAAAACAGACAACACAACACCAACTGAATTGGCAGATTTGAAGGATTGTATTTCCTCAAAAAGATTTAGATGCGTGTTGTAAAATTATAAATTCCTTAAATAACATTAGAACTGTTTATGTTTTATTAAAAACGTTTTTACTTTTTGAACATGAAATATTAAATATTAAAATACATATACACTCACCTAAAAAGATTATTAGGAACACCTGTTCAATTTCTCATGATTTCTCACCTCATGTAATAATCGAATCAACCAATCACATGGCAGTTGTTTCAATGCATTTAGGGGTGTGGTCCTGGTCAAGACAATCTTCTGAACTCCAAACTGAATGGCAGAATGGGAAAGAAAATGTATTTAAGCAATTTTGAGTGTGGCATCATTGTTGGTGCCAGACGGGCCAGTCTGAGTATTTCACAATCTGCTCAGTTACTGGGATTTTCATGCACTACCATTTCTAGAGTTTACAAAGAATTGTGTGAAAAGGGGAAAAAAAAAAAAAACCTTTTCAGGGCGAAAATGCCCTGTTGATGCTAGAGGTTAGAGGAGAATGGGCCGATGATTCAAGCTGATAGAAGAGCAACTTTGACTGAAATAACCTCTTGTTACAACTGAGGTATGCAGCAAAGCATTTGTGAGCAAAGCATTTGATGACACGCACAACCTTGAGGTGGATGGGCTACAACAGCAGAAGACCCCTCCGGGTACCACTCATCTCCACTACAAATAGGAAAAAGAGGCTGCAATTTGCAAGAACTCACCAAAATAGGACAGTTGATGACTGTAAAAATGTTGCCTGGTCTGATGAGTCTCGATTTCTGTGAAGACATTCAGATGGAAGAGTCAGAATTTGGCGTACAGAATTAGATCATGGATTCATCATGCCTTGTTACCTCTGTGCAGGCTGGTGGTGGTGTAATGGCATGGGCGATGTTTTCTTGGCACACTTTAGCCCACTTAGTGCCAATTGGGCATCATTTAAATGCCACGGCCTACCTGAGCATTGTTTTGACCATGTCCATCCCTTTTATGGCCACCATGTACCCATCCTCTGATGGCTACTTCCAGCAGGATAATGCACCATTTCACAAAGCTTGAATTATTTCAAATTGGTTTCTTGAACATGACAATGAGTTCACTGTACTCACTGTATTTAAAAATAAAACATTTATATATGATAGTAGAGTTTTGAAGTGCTGGAAAAAGATGTGTAGTAGACTACTTGTAAGCGTTTGACTATTTCTGTCACATTACCAAATTTATACATTATCCTAAATACATGGTGAATGTTGCTGATTTTTGGATTGAAAGCCTACTATAAGTTTTTTCTCCTGGTTTCCTCGTCAGCGCTGTTTGGTCTGATATCAATGGTTTATAACAGAACTGAATCGCTGCGCTGAATCAGAATGTTTCTCACTGGTTCTCGTATTGATGATGTTATTAATTCTGAGGCAAATTCAATGGATTTCTTCACTGGATCTCCTAGTAACAGTTCTACCAGAAAGACTCGGGAGATAAGATACTGTACTATACTGTCGACCTGGGGAGGCAGCTCCAATTCCCCAGGGAGATCGTGGAAACTTTGCTCCGGCCAGACCTGATCATGTGGTCAGAGTTATGCAAGACCATCTTGTTGGTGGAGCTCACTGTCCCATGGGAGGAGGGAATGGAGGCTGCCAACGAACGGAAGCGTGCCAAGTACGCAGATCTGGCAGAAGCCTGCAAAGAGGCTGGCTGGAAAGCCACCATGTGGCCAGTTGAAGTGGGATGCAGGGGCTTTGTTGGGTCCTCAACGGTTCGTCTGCTCCACGAGATGGGATGTACAGGAGCAGGGTGTCGAAAAGCCATTAAAGAACTGGCAGAGGAGGCTGAGAGGGGCAGCTTTTGGTTGTGGCTAAGGAGGAAGCACAAGGTATGGGGGCCAAGTAACATCTAGGGCATCAGCAGGGGGTGGCAGGGAGTGATCCCTGCCATCGCTCCGCCACCAGGAGATGTACTGGGGTTAAAGGAGCGAAACATCGATGACTGGTGGTCCCCAGCTGATGACCCATCTTATGACAAAAAGGTGGAGCACACCTGCACAAAAGGCACCGGTGGAGGTGCGACAGGCAGCAATGCCCAGCAGGTCGACCATCAGCCTGTATTTCAATTAGTGTACAATAAAGCATTTTATTAACAGCCCAGCAAGCCATATATGCAGTAAAGTTCTTTGGCGTAGGCCCCGTCCATAACTAGCGATCCGAGGGTACGGATTCTGCATATCCTGCCTGAAGATGAAGGCAGGGGCGCAGCCGACCCCCAAAAATGAGTGGAAAAATAATTCCACTGGACGAAGCCCACCTCCAAAGAACATGAAAGAAGAGTATACCCACCAGCCGTATGTTATGTGGTTCCTAAAATAGAAGAAGAAAAAGAGTTAGCAAACAGCTGGTAAACATGGATATATCAATTTCCATAGATAGTAGAGTTCCATCGATATTGTCGTGGGAACGGAACTCTACAATCTAAAGTGGAGCATGCTTAACTTAATATGAAAGATACTTATCTGCTGCTGAATTACATGAGACAATTACGCATTTGCTCAGGCTTAAAATTTATTTATTATTTATTTATTTATTTATTTATTTTATATATACGAGGCCACGCTGATCCACATAAAACGAGGCCACGCTGATCCACATAAAACGAGGCCACATTGAGCCACATAGACAAGGCCACGCTGAGCCACATAGACAAGGCCACGCTGAGCCACATAGACGAGGCCACACTGAGCCACATAAAAACGAGGCCACGCTGAGCCACATAGACGAGGCCACGCTGAGCCACATAAAAACGAGGCCACGCTGAGCCACATAGACGAGGCCACGCTGAGCCACATAGACAAGGCCACGCTGAGCCACATAGACAAGGCCACGCTGAGCCACATAAAAACGAGGCCACGCTGAGCCACATAAAAACGAGGCCACGCTGAGCCACTTATACGAGGCCACGCTGAGCCACATAAAAACAAGGCTGCGCTGAGCTCCACAGAGACGAGGTCACGCTGAACCACATAAAACGAGGCCGTGCTGAGCCCCAAAGAGATGAGGCTACGCTGAGCCCCACAGAGACGAGGCCACGCTGAGCCACATGAATACGAGGCCACGCTGAGCTACATAGACAAGGCCACGCAGAGCCACATAGAGACAAGGTTATACTAGCAACACATAGACGAGGTTTGCTGAGCCACTAGGCTGCTAGTGTTGCACATAGCAAAAAGCGCTTAGAAAAGCCACCGGGCTGCGCGAAGCCGAGCCCCTAAGGACCGTGTTGCCAGCGATGGCGCAAGGCGAATTATTCAAACTGAGACTATCGCCCGATAGATAAGTATGACACCACCACCAGTAATTGCATATTAATTCACCTGAATCGTTACTGCAGAGCTTGCTGAGCTTCAAGAATGATCTTTAGATTGGATCTTATGTGAGAGTTCAATGCAGAGGAAGACCATCTGCAGGATTTTGATAGCAGCAGTAGAAACGCCACGTTCAGCTGCTGTAGTGGCAGCACCAATCCTGAATGAGTGGCCAGTATACTGGGAAGGGGATAGACTGCAGTTTTTAGGGACAGAAACTAAATGAGACCTGAACCAAGCTTTGGTAAGAGAAGCTCCATTAGGTTGAGAAAATAGAGGGGAGTGATCTGAAGATTTAGGGTGAGATGGGACAGATGAGATGAGAAGGGACAAAAATTGTTGCTAATTTTAGACATAGTGATTGAGATGCCAGAACCTAAAGAGTAATTTTTTGAGTATTTGAGAAAGAGAGTAAAGAAATTAGGTGAGAAGTGTAAGTTAGAGAAAGAGAGACTGCGGACGGGATCAAAATGTTTAGACGTTGAAGCGAATTCACCTGGACGCATAAACCCGTTAGCCTGACTACGTCAGACTTCCTACTTCTGCTAATTTCATTTTGATCCTGTAGTCCGTCTGAGATAGCAGCATATCTTTCAGTTTTCCACCGGCCTGAAAACAGCCGGCCAATCAACGGACAGAGGGCGGGCTGAGAGCCGTGACGTAGACGCTAAGTGCCGAGTTTTACATTGTAGGTTGGAGAAATCGAAAACCGAAACGACCGCAGAAATGGGAAACAAGACACGGGATGCAATTCGCTCTGTTATGGAGAACATTCCGGGGTTTTTCAAACTGAAGCAAAAGTCGTTTACAGCCATGTTCACTTCGGTATTTCGACCGGCGCGTGCACTTCTACCGCTCTAGGCGAAAAACAATTTTGCTGCCCCTCTATTTGCAACGTATACCAGCAAAAACCAGCATGCTTGGCTATTATGTAGCTTGCACATACACTTTGATTCTCTCATCAACACAGATGCAGCCATTTTTATTTTTTCAAATCATTATAACAGGGAAAAATATTAACACTTCAAGCTTAGACATTTAGGCTACCCAATTTTTTCAGGCTAATTGTAGTAATGACGGATCAGACCTGTTTGGCCATAACTATATGCATAACTATAAGGACATAACTTACCCCCATTCAACGTCAGTTCTCCGTCTTTTACGGCTATGACAAGAACGTCGGTCTCCTCGGCTGTGAACGCTCCTGTCGCGCTCTTATTATCATATTATTGTTATCATAATAATAACAACAATCCACCATATTTGGTTTCGACATCCTGCTGCATTAGTCCCAGATATGTGATTCATGAACGATCTGTTCATTGTGTATGTCACGTGGGCTACTTCTGCAACCGAATGTAAG